ATGACAGAGAGAGGGAGAGACAGGGAGAGATCTTCCATCCACTGATTTACATCCCAAACAGCTACAATTGCTGGGGCTGGTCCAGGCTGTAATCAGGAGCCTAGAATCTCATCTAGGCCTCCCACGTGGGTAGCAGGGACCCAAGCAGTTAGGCCACCCTCCACTGCTTCCCCAGGTGCATCAGCAGGAAGCTGGATCAGAACTGGAGCAGCTGGGACTCAGATCAGCCTCTGATACGGGAAGCCGCTTAGCCCACTGTGTCATTACTCTGGCCCCTGCTGACGGCCACCCTGCTCTCAAATTCTGAGTTGGTATTTCTTAGATTCTACACGTAAGTGGGATGTGGTATGTATTTGTCTCTCTGTGCCTGATTTCCCTTAGCATAATGCCCTTCAGTTTCACCCCTAGGATTACAAAGGACAGCTTACTCAAAGGTCATCAGCACATAAATAGTGAAGTTCAAGTGCTACAGTGAAGTTCATGTGCTGGGTGTGGAAGAAGCCATTCAGGAAAGCAACAGGTATAGAAAAGGAGAAAGGCAGGAATAAGCGAATTGGGAAACACCAGTGTTGGTTGGTACAAAGAGGAGGCAGTTACAGAACTATAGAAGGGAGGTTAATGTTGTGGCACAGCAGGTTAAGGCACCACACTGCATCCCATGCTGCGGTGCCCATTGGAGACCTGGCTACACTCCTTCTGGTCCAGCTCCCTGCCTCTGATAATGGCTCAAGTGATTGAGTTCCTGCTACCCATCTTGGATGGAGCTCCTGGCTCCTGGCTTTATGCTGGCCCAGCCCCAGCTGTTGTAGGCATCTGGGGAGTGAACCAATGGATGGAAGATCTCTCTCCTTCTCTGTCTGCATTTCAAATCAATAAATAGGGAAAAAAGAACTAGAGAATGGAGTGGTATGGGAGGCAAGGAGAAGGCAAGAGAGAACTTCCAAGCAGTGGCTAAGGCCAGGAGAAATGGAGAAAAGCAAAGATCTCTGTTTCTTCCATGGTGGCCGTGAGGAGGTCATTCATTTTCATGACAAGCACAGCTTCAGTGGCCTGCAGGAATCGGCTGAAGCAGGCTGCAATTTGCTAAGGAATGAATGGGAGGTGAGGATTCCCAGAGGCGAGGGCTATTTCAAGAAGTGTGTCTCCAGAAAGACAAAAATAAGCTGGTAGTCATAGCTGGGGACTGTGATGTTGTGGTGGATTTATTCTGAGAGGAGGAGCGTGGTAGGGGAAGAGGCATGGAGTCACCACACAAACCCCAGGTGTCAGGTGAAAGCAAGCCAGAGGTGAGCAGCCCACAGACTCGTTTACTTCAGTTGGTAGAGCAGCTTAAATAACCAAGGCAGTCAATCGGGTCAAGAGGCGGTCTATGCCCTAACCAATCACAGCCTGTTGCCAGGCAGTTTCTGAAGCCATCCAATCACAGCTTGTTGCCAGGCAGGCTCCATTGCCTTGTGGTTCCCGAAGCCATCCAATCACAGCCTGCTGTCAGTCAGGCTCCATTGTCATGTTGTTTCCCAAAGCCATCCAATCACAGTCTGTTGCCAGGCAGTTTCCATTGTCAGCGGCCATCTTGGCATGACCTTCTCTTTCCACCACATTTCTTCCTTTTCATTTATTTTTGAGCAATGGGAGGCATGATTCTTGGCCAGACCATTGCTGACCCCGTTTCCATGTGGTCTCTGCACGTGGCTGTGCTTCTCTTAGGTTGTCTCCCAGGGGATCTTACCCATTGTTGACTAACCAGTGCTTAAAACGGGAGGCCACAGGAGTGCTTGCTCAGATAGGGAAAGGAATGAGGAACAATGGTAATCAGGAATGGCGTGACTGCACACAGGCTGTGGGCCGTTTGAGTGGCTGACCAGAGCTAGTGGGCTATAAAGCAGTAGCAGATGTGGCTATGGGCACCTTCTCAGGGTAGGATGATAGGGCAGGTGCATCCGCTAACAAGGCAGACTCTCAGTCTTGTTCAGCTGGTTCTGGTTGGCTGAGAGTTGTAGGCTTGATGTTTCTGGCTGGTACCCGAATGGGCTGTCCCGCATGCTCTGGAAAGACACAAGCATATCCTCGGCCCTAGGTTAGCAGAAGCCTTTTTACAGGCGTTGGAATCCAGGGCCTGAATTCTGTGTTCACTTCGAGATTAACGGCAAACAAGCGGGTGGGATGAGGTCTAGCTGCTGTCCTGAGAGCCTGGGTGCCTGGGGACTGCCACAAACGTGGGGATCCTCATTGGGTGCAGATGGGATGACCTCGCATTGGTTACTGCCTGGAGATCATCTAAGTTCATCCCATGGATATTTGGGGGTGGCTGACTAGGCATTGCTGCGTTGTTTGCTACATTGTCGTTTTCACTGTTGGAGCTCTCTCTCCCTAAGTTTCAACTGTTGCCTGTGAGGCAGCAGCCTGGAGTGACAGGCTCTTATCACTCACAGACTCACTATATTTGTCCTGTGCTTTGTGGGGGACATCCTTGATTCATTAGGTCAAAGCCGTATGCCCACATAGTGTCTCCGGAGCGTCACCTCTCTCGAGTGAGGGACAATGACATGCGTTCGAATTCTGGCATGATCAGTCCTTATGTGAATTCGCTGGGCGAACCGACAGTAAAAGGAGGAGCTGAGAAGCGGCGTTAGGCTTCTGAGTGGTGTGTGCCTGCCTAACCTGGGGTGACTGAGACCGAGGACAAGGACCAGGAAAGGGGCGTAGGAGGGGGTCCACAGGAACACCTGTCCTATTTTATACACGCAAGTGTTCAGCCTGATTCTAGAATCACAGACAAAAGCCAGTTAGGATCTTTTTGATTAAACTTGTTGTATTTTGTCTTTGACAGGTGAAGGAGGCTCAGTCCCACCATGGGGTCTGGATTGCACCAAGACTCGAAAAGAGGGCAAAGGCTGCTTTGTTGTTTTCGGGGCCACACAGGAGGGGAGGATAAGGCAGGACCCAGTGACATGGAAGCCATGGCCTCCCTTTTCTGCTGTCACTTTTGCAAAGTCCTGAGAAGAACTCCCTGGAACTCCTTGTCACACGTGACAAGTTCAGGTTGCTCTGAGCTAGGTAGCTCTGCTGCCCTCTTGGTCAAAACACAACCTGTGTTGCTGGTCCTTTGAGAGAGGAGCTGTGTCATTGGCTCAAAGGAGGCAGGAGCATGTGAGGGTTCCAAGCTGCTTCCCCCATGGTGTGGGGGTGCAGGGGGCATTTTATAGATGACGCAGCAGACAGCTGGTGTGTGGAGATGCAGGTTGGGCAAGTTCTCATTGGAGGAGCTTGGAAACAGGCTAGCATGGCACTGGCTCCTGCATACAGCTGCTTTGCCAAGCAAAACACTGAAAACACAAAGACCTTTGGACTTCCATAGCCTGTAGCACTGGGGCTGGGTGAAGTTTAAGGCAACGTCCTTGACATTTTCAGGGACAGTAGGCCGGGCCCCTGGGTTAAATGGAAAACGGGGGCAGGGGTTCGGGGCAACAGATTAAGCCACCGCTTGGGATGCCTGCATCCCACATCAGAGTTCCCGGTTGGACTCCCAGCTGCTCCACTTCCACTCCAGCTCCCCTAATGCATCCTGGGAGGCAGCATATGATGCACAAGTGCTTGGGCCCTGCTGCTCATGTGGGAGCCCCAGATAGAGTCCCTGGCTTGTGGCTTCAGCCTGGCCTAGGCCTGCTGTGCGGGCACTTGGAGAGCGAAACCGTGGATGGAAGATCCCCATCTCTCTCTCTCTCCCTGTCACTCAACCTTTCAAGGAGAAGAAAATGATAAACACATTTTAAAATTGCCAAAGAGAGGACCGGCATTGTGGCACAGCGGGTTAAGCTGCCTACCTGCTACACCAGCATCCTATAAATTTTTTTATTTTTACTTTTATTATTTTTTAGAGGAAGATTTTATTTAATAAATATAAATTTCAAAAGTAGAACTTTTGGATTCTAGCAGTGCATCCTGTAAGTTGAAGTGCTGGTTCGAGTCCTAGCTACCTGCTTCCCATCTAATTCCCTCGAACACGCCTCGGAAGGCAGCAGACAAGGGAACAAATATTTGGGACCCTGTCACTCATGTCCGAGACCCTAAGAGAGAAGCCTGGCTCCTGGCTTTGGGCTGTCCCATCCTCAATGTGGTGGCCATTAAAAATATATTTATGTCTTATTTGAAAGAGTGGCAGAGAGAAAAGAGAGAAAGAGAGAAAGATCTTCCATTCCTGGCTTCACTTCCCAGATGACCACAACGGACAGGCCTGGACCAGGCCAAAGCCAGGATCCAGGAGCTTCATCCGGGTCTCCCACATGGGAGCTGGGGTCCAAGCACTTGGGCCATTCTCTGCCTCTTTCCCAGGCGCATTAGTAGGGAGCTGGGTTGGAAGTGGAGCAGCCGGGACACGAACTGGTGCCCATACACGGGGTGCTGGCATTGCCGCCAGCAGCTTTACCCACAACGCCACAACACCGGCCCCCTAAATAAATAGTGTTACAAATTCTAGTGTGAACAGATCGACAGGTGGGAGCTTGGTGTTCCACCGCCTTCCCGCTCTGCGCTGGTGGTTCAGTCAGTACCTAGGGCAACTGTGGACTCCTGGAAAGGACGGGCGGGCCCTGGGACCCCTTCAGGGCCTCTGTCTTAAGGGTCCTGGGCGTTTCCTGCAGGCATCAAGGGAGAGAATCAGCAGAGAAAGGCAGACAGAGGACAAGGGACAAGGCCAAGCCCATTGGCTGGGTGAGGAGACAGTTCCGTCAAAGGGTACCTGAAGGCCAAGGAGAAGAGTGGAGACACCTTGGCGTTCCTGGCCTGGGTGCACCTGTGCTCCCAGAAGTGCGCCGCCCTACTTCAGGCTCTGGAGGGCGGGACTCCCTTTGCCATTTGGGCTGAGCCCCCAGTCCCAGATGATGAGTCAGCTGGAGGGGAGGGAGTGGGATGCCCTGAGTGACGGGTCAGGAGCCACTGATAAGCGGTGCTAGTTACTCCAGACCCTCCATGGCCTCCATGCTTCTGTCTTCTTGGAAGACCTGCTGACTCAGAGGGGTCACAGGGACCAGTCCTGGAGACGCCAGACAACAGGACTCGGGGCTTGAGGTGGCCGAAAGATCCACCCTCGCGGGGCCGAAGGAGTCTGACACCCACTCTGAAGTCTCAGACCCGAGGGTGGGGAGGGCTCCAGGACCTTTCTGCCATGGTGTCTGAGAGTCTGGGGCAGGGCCCAGCCCCACCCTGCCCCAAGGAGCACCTGCACCCCCTCAGCGCCTCAGCTTCCCTCATGCTCCCTGGAATGACATCTCTTGGGAGGGGGGCAACTTGCAGCCCAAGTCACCCTTCTCAGAGACAGATGGTTTGAGAAGGGGCTGGCAGGTTGAGGCTGGCTGGCTGGCTAGACTTGCTAATTTATAAGATAGTCCCCATGATGTGATAGAATCCATAAAGTGGTATATGGTTGTACGGGTGTTTGCCATACCATTCTTCAAACTTTACTGCCTGCTTGTTTTTCTTTTTTTTTTTCTTCGTTTTTTTTTATTTTGTATCAAAATATCAGGAAAGAGGGGGAAAAATTCTGTTTTTAAACATTTATTTATTTATTTAAAGTCAGTGTTACACAGACAGAGAAAAGGATGCAGAGACAGAGAGAGAGAGAGAGGTCTTCCATGTGATGGTTCTCTCCCCAGATGGGGGAACTTCCATAGCGATCCATCGGATCGGCTCAGTTCTGGCCATTGCAACCATGTGGGGAGTGACCAGTGGATGAAGACCTTGCTCTCTCTCTCTCTCCCTTCCCACACTTAATAAATAAAATGATTTCATCAAAAGCTGCGGTGACCATGTCTCAAGCTTGTCCTGCCCCTCCTGGGCTCTGGCACTCAGCCGAGTGGACCCCACCTTGTCATCCCTAAGCTTTCCAGGAGGGACAGACCCTGCCCAACACCTGATCCCAAGAGGTTGACCTTGTTTGCTCAGGAGGTGAGCTTCCCTTGATAAAGAGCAGGAGGGAGGGCTTGGAGCTGGTATAAAAGTTCTGGAAGGTTCTAAGGGGTTACCTTGCACCTGAAGCTCCCAGGTGAGAGGTGTTAGGGATTCCTGGGTCTGCCTTTGAGGGGGTGGGGATTCAGATCTGATCTGGTCTGGGGAAGGGGATGCCTGGATTGAGTGGCAGGGAGTGTTAGTGAAGTGGGCACCTGGGTTGAAGCTATCTTGGTGCAGAGATGTGTCAGCTGTCAGTTGAAGGACTAGGAACCTGGGACACTCAGGTGACTGGGAAAGGCCAGGCGTGTGTCGGTGGACAAAGAATCGTGACAAAGATCCCATCTGCTGGATCACTCCCCCACATGGCCGCAATGGCCAGAGCTGGGCCAATCTGAGCCAGGAGCCTGGAGCTTCTTCCAGGTCTCCCAAGGGGGTGTAGAGTCCCAAGTGCTTGGGCCATCTTCCACCACCTTCCCAGGGCACTAGCAGAGAGCTGGATCGGAAGTGGAGCAGACGGGACTTGAACCGGTGCCCATATGGGATGGCGGCTCCAGGGGCGGAGGACTCACCTACTGCACTCCAGCGGCCAGCTTGTCGGTGTTGGCTCTGATGCTGGGTTCAGGAAATTCAGCCGTCTCCAGGCTGAGGCCTATCCTCCAGTCCTAATTCAGAAAGTCCCCGTCCTGGCTGTGTCAGGACACAGCGCACCCCAACAGGGAGCGCTGACCTTCTGCTTGGAGGGGAAAAGGAGGGCGTGGCTACAGCCAGACCAAGGGCGGGCCAGAGACAGTTGGACCCTGGAACATCAGGTCTGGAGGATGACACTGCAGGCTGTGGACAGTGCTGTGCACCTTGAGCCTGGATCTGGCTAGGTGGGAGCTGAAGGGTCAGGCCACCCGGAGGCCAGAGGGAAAGGAGGAACCTCCCCCTCTGCTCTCTTCTTCCCCCCTGCAGCCTGGCGATGTGGACCTTCATGCTCCTGGGCCTTCTCTGTGCCTCGGCCTCTGCCAGTGCCAGTAAGTGAGCCGCTGGGACTCTGGTGGCGGGTGGCAGGAAGGGGCCCCTGCTCGGCTGGTGGCCAAGGCTTGCATGGCTGACCATGACCGGTGGGAACTGGGAGGTCCTTGACTCCAAGCCCCCCTTTCTTTCCACTGCAGTCCAGGCCAGGTCCTCCTCCTACAGTGGCGAGTACGGAAGTGGAAGAGGAGAGCCATTCTCCCACTCCGGCCTCCAGCTGGAAGGGCCCATCACAGCCATCCGTGTCCGGGTCGACAGCTTCAATATCGCGGGGTAAGGCTCTTCCGCGTTCCTCAAGCTCTTACTAACTCAGGAAGTGCTCTTTCGCTCTGGGCCACCTGTGCCTCAACCAACAGGTCCCTAGTGAGGCAGGATATGGGGATAGCTGTGAGAGGACTCGGCTTCCAGAACCGTACCCTTTGGACTCTTCCCTCCCCGAATATGCTTGGTGGTGGCAAATCATTAATAACCACTAACTCTCAGGGGCCTGGAAGTCGACCAGCCCAGCCCACCCGCCTTCTGCGGTTTAAAGTTTCTTTCCAATATCCCTGCTGGGTGCCCTGCAACTTTGCTCAACGCCTCTCTTGAGCAATCCCCACTCCATTGCTAGTCGGAAAATTCTATCACGTGCAGAGCCAAAGTGTGTCCCCTGATCCTCGATCTGCCTCCTGGGACAGCAGGGACAAGCCTCTTCCCTCTCCCACAAGGGAGCCACTCAGCTGTTAGAAAATCCCTTTGCTTCCACAAGTGCGGGAATGGGGGAGGGGCATCGTAGGAGGCTGGACTCCAAATTCAAGGCCTGCCATGTGCTGTGTGTGGGCGACTCTGGGCAAGCTGCCTTCCTTCTCTGCACCTGCTGTCAGCCAGGCCAGGAGCTGAAGTTCTTTGTGTGGTCCTCCAGGGCTCACCCGGCCTACACTTTTGGGGCAACTAGCAGGGACTGCTCATGCTAGTGTCCAGTTTGGAGGACTCCACGTGCAGGCCAAACGGTCCTGAACTCTGATGACCTAATCAGTGTCCCCGTTCCTGCCCTCCCACCCGTCCCAGTCTCCAGGTGCGCTACGGCCAGGTGTGGAGCGACTACGTGGGTGGCAATCTGGGAGACCTGGAGGAGATCTTTCTGCACCCAGGGGAGTCAGTGATCGAGGTGTCTGGGTCATACAAAAACTATCTGAAGACCCTGGACTTTTTCACCAACTACGGTCGCATCCTTTCCTTTGGGAGAGACACAGGCGTGAGCTTCAACGCTGTCCCCTTGGACATCGACGCCGTGCTCCGATTCATCAGTGGCCGAGCTGGCTTATTCGTCAGCGCCATTGGCCTGCACTGGGACACCATCCCAGAAACTGCCCCAGCGACTGCTGAGCCCGCCTCCTCCGTGGCAGGGCCCCGTGGTGGGGTGTGAGAACTCCCTGATCACTATTCCCATACAAATGGCTCAATAAAAGGACATGGCTAAAGCTGGTGTGCATGTGGGTGTGTGCAGGCGGGACCCACTCTTGGAGGGCGGTGTGACTCTCAGCTCTGGCTACCTGCTGCTAAGAGTGGGAGCACGAGGGAGACAGGTGTTGAGAATCCTGGGCTCTTCCGTACGTCGCAAGGAGAGGAGATGCTGGTTTGTGCCAACTCTTTTCGGGGTTAGCTCTTGAGAATGTCTGTCCAAACAGGAGTTCTGAAGGGAAGGCTCAGCGGGGGCACACCGCCGAGCCCCAGGTGAGCCTCTCTGGCGCCCTCCCCCCTGAGAAGGGGCTGGCTTCTCTGACCAAAGGCTGTCCCCCCTCCCTGGAGCTCAGCTGCAGGTGGGTGGCCTGCACCTCTGTCCTCCCATCTGTCCCAGATGCGATCTCCCTGCTGAAGTTTCGCCCCAGTTTGTGCTTAAGGACTCCACCCCATTCCCCAGGCCAGTTCTTCCTCGTCTTTACCCCTAACCTGGTGCTCTTGCTTAGCCCTCTGGGAACTGGCGCTCAGGCAGATGAGAAGCCCGTGGCTGAGACACACCCATGTCCCGTATTAGAGCGAGTGGGTTTCATTCCTGACTCCACCTTCCTGCTGACGTGGCTGCTGGGAGGCAGCAGGGACGGTTCAGGATGGTTCAAGTGCCACCCACACGGGAGAGCCGGTTGAGTTCTCCTCCAGCTTCTGCCCCCACTCCCACCTCTCTAACAAACAGAGAATAAAAACGGAGCCGGCGCCGCGGCTCATAGGCTAATCCTCCACCTTGTTGCGCCGGCACACCAGGTTCTAGTCCCAGTCGGTGCGCCGGATTCTGTACCGGTTGCCCTTCCTCCAGGCCAGCTCTCTGCTGTGGCCAGGGACTGCAGTGGGGGATGTCACAAGTGCTTGGGCCCTGCACCCCAGGGTAGATCAGGAGAAACACCAGGCTCCTGATTTGGATCCGTGTGGTGCGCCGGCCGCAGTGCACCGGCCTCAGCTGCCATTGGAGGGTGAACCAATGGCAAAGGAAGACCTTTCTCTCTGTCTCTCTCTCTCACTGTCCACTCTGCCTGAAAACAAAACAAAACAAAACAAAACAAAACAAAACAAAACAAAACACCACCAGGAACAACGGAGAGTCTTTCCTTAGGGACCCACCATTTCAACAGTGTGAACTTGGCCAACACCACAGCCAAAGTGGAAATTCTGGGGCAGGCACTTAGTATGGTGGTTAAGTTGCCACTAGGGGCTGCGTCCCATATCTGAGTGCCTGGGTTCAAGGCCTGGCTCTACTTTCGTTTTTTAAGACTTTTTCAAGAAATGTATTTATCTGAGAGTTACAGAGAGGCAGGGGCAGAGAGAGAGAGAGAGAGAGAGAGAGACAGACAGACAGACAGACAGAGAGAGGTCTTCCAAATGCCGGTTCACTCCCAGATGGCTACAATGGCCGGAGCTGGGCCGATCTGAAGCCAGGAGCCTCTTCTGGGTCTCCCACGTGGATACAGGGACATAAGGAATTGGAGCATCTTATACTGCTTTCCCAGGCCATAGCAGAGAGCTGGATCACAAGTGGAGCAGCCGGGACTCCAACCAGCGCCCATACAGAATGCCGGTGTTGCAGGCGGCAGCTTTACCCACTACTCCACAGCCTGGCTCCACATTTGATTCCAGCTTCCTATTAATGCCAACCATGTGGGAGGCCTGCATTGAGTTCTGGGCTCCTGGCTTCAGTCTGGCCCAGCCTGCCTGTCGTGGGCATTTAGGGAGTGAACCAATGGATAGGACATCTCTGTCTGCCTTTCATAGAGCATGAAAATAAAGTTTTTACAAAAGTAAATTCCAAAGTAGAGACATTTTCATCTTTGATTGCCCCAAGTACAAGGGTTGGGATCGAATTCAGGGGAAGCATTAGGATGGCTGGATAGAGTCAGTGAGGACACAAAGTGGCTTTGGGAAGAATTTCGAGGACTCTAAAATATTGGCAGTTTTGGTTTTGGTGGTAGTGGTGGGCTGTAACATATTGCTACCCATAGATTTCTTTGTGTCATAGGGAATGTCAAGTCATATTACTTCCCAATTAGACAAAGAGAAGTTACAGACATGTAATTTTGTAAAAATAAAAATAAAAACCCCAAACACTATAAAAAGAAGCCCACCACTAGCATGTTTTTATAACAATTCCTTGGGCACCAGATGTTGCTGTGGATCCATTCTGAGAGGAGGATGGTGGTGGGGGCAAGACGTGTGGAGTCACCACACAGACCCCAGGTGTGGGTGAAAGCAGGCCAGAGGCGAGCAGCTGGAAGACTCATTTATTTCAGTTGGTACAGCATCTTATAGAGCCAAGGCAGCCAATCTGGTCAAGGGGTGGTCTATGCTCTAACCAATCACAGCCTGTTGCCAGGCAGTTTCCAAAGCCATCCAATCACAGCATGTTGCCAGGCAGGCTCCGTTGCCATGTCATTCCTGAAGCCATCCAATCACAGCCTGTTGCCAGGCAGTTTCCGTTGTCAGCGGCCATCTTGGCATGGCCTTCTCATTCCACCACAAATTCCATCACAGATTATTATGCCATTGGAATTCTTTTTGAGCTATAAATATCATAGATCTTACCCTTTTCAAGTGTGCAAGTGATTTTTAGTATATTTATAAGGTTTGTACATCCAGCATCGCCAATTCCTAAATACCTAAGTAAAAAACAAAACAAAGAAACAAAAAAAAAAAAAACCTGAGGCCATGAGTTGTCTCCCCAGCCTCCCTTTAGCCCAGCAGAGTCATGTTCTCATGTGTTAACCTGAGGAAGAATTAAATCAGGCTGATAACAAAGCCATTGCCTTACATACTCATTTGTGGTGAGAACATTTACGATCTACTTTTAGCAATTCTTACGAAAGTCACCATTCCATGTGATCTATTGATCACTAAAGGCTGCTTCTTCCTTTCACCTGAAACTTTGTATGCTCTGATCAACATCTTGTCTCTCTCCATCCAGTGTTCTGCCAAGCCTCTCATGACTACCACTTTGTTTTTTTTTTTTTTTTTTTTGTAAAGATTATTTATTTGAAAGGCAGAATGAGACAGAGAGGGAGAGACAGGGAGAGATCTTCCATCCACTGATTTACATCCCAAACAGCTACAATTGCTGGGGCTGGTCCAGGCTGTAATCAGGAGCCTAGAATCTCATCTAGGCCTCTCATGTGGGTAGCAGGGACCCAAGCAGTTAGGCCACCCTCCACTGCCTCCCCAGGTGCATCAGCAGGAAGCTGGATCAGAACTGGAGCAGCTGGGAGTCAGATCAGCCTCTGATACGGGAAGCCACTTAGCCCACTGTGTCATTACTCTGGCCCCTGCTGACGGCCACCCTGCTCTCAAATTCTGAGTTGGTATTTCTTAGATTCTACACGTAAGTGGGATGTGGTATGTATTTGTTTCTCTGTGCCTGATTTCCCTTAGCATAGTGCCCTTCAGGTT